GATCACCCCCCCTCCATCAGCTTCTCCAGGACCCTGTAACGCCTGCGCGGCCGCATCGCGAGCACCGCGGCATAGCCGCGCGCATCGGCCAACCATGTGGAGCCCAGAAGCCTTGGGAACCGAGATTCTAAGGAATTGTGGCTTTCGCGTTTAGCTTCCTGCTCAGGGGGTTGGGATCGTGATACATGGGGTTCGGCCAGGGCTTTGCTTAGAAGCCTAAAAACAGCACATTGAATGAACAAGTTTGCGGGTCAACCCGAGACCCAGGCCATGAGGCTAGGAATCACAGGGTTCCCGGCGAGCTCGGGAAACCATACACACAAACATTCTCAGGTATGGTGTCTCATGCAACGGACCCTTAACTTGCCCGCAAGTTGGTCAACAAAGCTGAATGCCCAACACCCAAAATCGCAGTTAAACCGAGCACTGCGCACTAAAACTATACACTGCACCCAGACGCCCAAGAAGTACCTCAATCCCATCAGTGCGTGTGCCTCGAGAACGCCCTGGACGAGCACCTCATTAGGCACTGCACTTCCAGCAGTGTTTGTTGTTTGGGCGCTTCTCCGTGAAATGCCTAGCCGGCCTAAACGAACGCTGCACGTTCGGCTAAATCAAGGTTCCTCCGTTGAACGATGTGGCAGGGTGCATATGCGTGAGGTTGAGCCTGATGTCGAAAAGATGCCGCCCTCCGCAGACTGCTTAGGCTGGTAACCCCTGCTGGCCGGGGTGTGGATGATGTGACCTACACTCTACACCCTCAAAGCACCTGCAAGAATGCCACAGCCACTGGTGACATCTTCTCCTCCTCGAGCTTTTCCTCCTGCTTTTTCGCGCCCGGGGAGGGGGGTGCTTGCGGGGTGGCTTGTGCGTAGGTGCACATTGCATAGTCAACTGGCAAGCCCGGAAGGAGGAGCTCGTTCACTAACTTTTCAAGTCCTCACCCTGAACACGAACAGATACAAGAAGCTCCGAAGCCCCGCAGTGATCCTTCTGCAATGCCGTCCAACTCCGCGCCAGGACTCCAGGCCTCTGGGTAGTGCCGGCTTGCTTGAAACACATTGCCCCCTTACCAGCCGGGCTTCCGGGGTCTGCTTGAGTTTGCAATATGGGCATTCAAATGCAGTTGATCTTTCGAAGGAAGCCGGAACATCGTGATGAGGGAGGTTCAGGCAAACTTGTGCTGCTCCGGATACTCATAGTTCTTGACTGGGAGGGCCCCATGTCAGTCGTATTCATTTTTCAATCCACGCGCTGTAAGATCCTTATGCGCGCACAATCACTCAGACACACATACACACACGTGCGCAAGACTCAGGCCTCTGTTGTGTCAAGTGTCGGTACTTTTTAACCTTGCAAAGGTCCGACAAAGGCTGCTCTCGCTTCTCAGGTCAGGTGGCACTTTCAGGGCCGTCAAGCAAGGCTCCACGAAACCTGGCCGTTACCACACAGGAGAGGGGGGCAGGACTAGCGAATTTAGTTTGTCATCAGGGATGTTCCATACAGTCCCATACAGATCCATACAGTTCCATACAACTAAGCCCGATGTGAAACTTTGTCCCTCGACATCCCTCGCCCCCCCCCATGCAGTTACAACACTCTTCCTATCCGCTTCATTTGCCTTTAGAGAGCTGTCCCCTCGTGCAAGGGAGTGAAATAGGGCGAACATGGCAGTGAAACGGAGTGAAGAGTCCCCCCCGTTGCAACGCCCGCTGAGGGAACTACATGAAGAACACCCTACGTAAGCAATTCTCGAGCGAAGCCGATCAAACAACCAAACCTTAAACCTCGCAACCACTTGTGGCCTCACCCAAACCTAAATGAAGTTAGCCTGAAAGTCGTGGGACAAGGTCAAGGTGCATAAGCACCTTAAGCATAGGGAGCTCCTCCAAGCTCTGAGTCCCCACAACTGGAGTGAAGTTCATTGAAATTCGAACCGCCGTCAGCTAGTCTCCATTCAACATGGCGAAGAACACGCCGCTGGGAAACAACCCTTAGCGACTTAGTGCTGGCGCTATCTCTCACCACCAAGCTAGCAGCAGACAACGTCAAAAAGCAGATCCAGATCACGACCGCCCGCACCAAAAAACAAACACATGAAAGACCTGTGCCTGGCACGAAGGGGTCCAAGATATCAGCAAAGTCCCCCACCTCCGAGCGTGCCCACAAGGGGCAGTGTATGAGCAATCTTGGGCATGCAGCTCTTGTCCTGCGTTTTGGTCTGGCAAGAAGTGACACCACCATGTACGAGACGACAGCTCTGGCTTCCCGCTCAAAAGATAAGACTAAAAAAAGACACTAGAATGCAAGCGTATCAAGGACAGGGCAACACAGCGTCACTCCTTTCGCCTCCGAAAAAGGCAACCTTCTGGCTGCTAGCTCGTGCCTTTTGTCGGAACTCAAAGGCCTATATAAGTGCCTACAAACGGAGCCCATACGGGCTGCGGTATGGAGATTGGCCATGTGACTTCGCCACACCATCTGACTGTTGCGACTGGATTCTACTTTTTAGACATGTCTAAAAAAGAGTGTCCAGTTGCAACAGTCAGATGGTGTGACGAAGCTGGTTGTGCGAACCAGTGCCATAGGGCCATAAAGAAAGGAGGCATGTAGAGGAATCTTGTCTCTTTGTTGCTCTTCTCGGTCAATTATCTCCTTCCAAGAAAAACCCAGAGAAAGAACGGGGTCTTGCCCCTTCATCATCTTCGCCTGCTTTGTATTCTTCTATGGCTTCGTAGTTTCTACGTAGGTCTCCATCATCTACTGCGAGCAAGGGAAGCACGAGCCTCCATAAAGCATGGAAGAGAAGAGAGAAAGGAAAGGTACATGAAAGAACTGATTGCAACCAGAGGCTTGGCTTCTCCAGCTGGCATGCTTGAGAAGTAGTGAATCATGAATACCAACATCATGCAAAATGTTGATGGTCGGGGTCCAAGCTAGAACTATACGAGACCTTGTAGCTTGTACCATCCATGCCTCCGCGTTGCACAGGGCCTCTACGAGGAAGAGCCTGCAGCTGAAGGACGTCAAGAAGTTTTGCGTGGCCGGGAGGGGAGTGTGCAGCTCAGACCCTCTCATAGGAGCCAATTGGGGGGCGAATCTTTCAAACAATCAAACAGCCTTGTGGGCTTCACTTTGTTGATTCACCGGAGCCTGGTCTCTCGGTCCAGGACCCTCGCATCGTCCAGCACATCCAACAGCTCCGACATGGATTCAGGGTTCGGGGTTCTCAGCTTTTTGCACATGTCTGTGGAGAAAACTAGTAGGCAAGTACTGATCATTCCGCGCAGAAGTCAGCCAGCATCGCCAGCACCCTGAGTAACCGGAGCATTGACTCATAGCTATGTCGGAAGCTACTGCAAATTATGCCATGCAGCTCAGTTCTTGAGCCCAGAAACAGAATGCAGGACAGACAGCGCTCATGCTCAGAAATGTCAAGGGCTGAAAGGCTCCTTCTTAAGAGCGGCTTGAATACGTAAGCCATTTCAACAGGCACTTTCAACGCACACTCGGTGGGGCCGTGAAGACAGTCTTTTTGTTTCCTGGCCTGTGGGACTGCCGGATAAACATGCCAGCTCACAAGAACCCCAACTGACTCGCCGAAAACAAACTCCACAGTCCAAGGAGTCCAAGCTTTAGGCAGGCTGCGTGATGTTTAACCTCTCCAAGGCTTTTGCATCTTTGGATGCAAGCACGGAGCCCAGATAGATGCCTGCAAGGCAGGCATCTAAGAGGTCTGCCCTGAGCAATTGGATTGAACAAACTCCTGTTTAGTGGGGAGGTTTGCTTCACTCCGAAGACTGGTGCTCACCTGCGGCGGCTGCTGCAAACCTCCACTTTCAAACAAGCCTGACAAGCCACAGCAACGAATGGGCCTTCGATCACTTCGTTGGCTTCCTCCTTATGTGCTCATGAAGGGTCCAAAGGTACCCAAAGCCACTTTTTTCACAAACCCCAACTTGTCAACCTCAAGGTGTTGGGCAGGGGGCTTGCAGGATTGCAGGCTTTGAGTTGTTTCAACTCCTTTGAAGGAGATGACCTGCCAAACCTTATCTCAGGAAGATCCCGGAAATTGTCCTGTCTGCTTTCCCAAATCTCATCGTAGAAAGCGCCACCAGCGCTGGCCATTGCACAAGAAGAGCTAGGTTGCTCTCATTGTAAAGCGAAGCTGTCTGGGTTGCCTTCCTGTGGGCGGATAACTGCCCGCCCAGCATGCCTTTCCTGTAACTTGTACGAGTATGTGCAAAACTGTGCAAACCTCCTTTCCAACTTCCAACAGTTGATGACAACGGTCACAAGTTTGCGGTATGTGGCGCTGCTAAAGTTGGCACGGCTTGCGTGAACACCGATGGGTTCATTCCCGATTACGACTCGGCAGCCGGAAGCTTGAGCATTCTCATCATCCTATCCCTGCCGCAGAAACTTGCGCGGGTTCTGCTCAACACATTCAATGCTTGACATTCCCCCTATAGGCCTTAAGTGTGGGAGCAAGATGTTGATTGAAAGATTTATGGACCAGGATGACTCGGCTGTGCCCTCATCGTGTGGAAGAGCCTATGTGATGTCTCGACATTTTGGAGCTTAACTGGCGCCTGAAAGGAATGGCAACATCTTTGTGCCGCAAGGGGTGAAACATGTTGCTGGTGTAGGCAGCCAAGCCTGAGGATGCCAAGGATGCCGAGTCTGGGGTTCTGCATGGTGTCAACAAACAAAACGACTAGGTCATTGGTTGAGGTCTGCTGCTCGCGCACTGTGAAGTGAGTATCCGAATCTAGCCAAAAATGTTACTTTGGGAAAGTTATTCGCGTGGGCTCGGTATGTGAAATGTTTGCACGCTTGTTCAAGCAAGGATAAGAACTCAATTGAAGTGCGGCAGACGTCCAGATATTGCCCGATTCCGTGTGCGAAGTGGCGTTCTTAGTGGGGTGCCGCAACTGAAGTTTACACTGCAGACACAAACCACCAGGAACGGAAACTTGCCCTGCCATCTTCGCCTTCTGTCATTCGCCGAAGAAGGTGCTGTAGTTGGGCTCTGTGTCCTTGCAAGTCGTAAGCAAACCAACTTTTACCCGTCCCTCTAAACAAGATCGCACAACCTTTGAGGTGTGCAGACCCTGTCAAACCGGTCAATCTCCAGAGATGCACGAATTTACATGTCATCCCTCAAGCACTTTCGACCTACGTCGCCCCAAGTGTTGCAAGTCTAGATTTGAAAATCCCCTTCCAAAACTCTCAATCCCCAAATTCGAGTTCGATCCGAGATCCCCCCGTGCCCAACCCAAACTGCTGAAAATCAAAGCTGAACGATGAGCGACTTCCTCCACGGGCTTTGACAGCCTGCGCCGAGAGCATCCCGTGGAGGCCTTGTGCCTGGAAGCTGCGACGTGGGCTTTCAGATGCTTTTCAATGCTTTCAGCTTGGGGCTCGGGGGAGGTTTAGGGCGAATTCACTTTGGTTCGAAGGCTGCAAAGGGGCGCCGAGGCAGCTAGAGCAATCATGGTAGGGCCTGATGGTTGCAGAAACGCAGACCGTCCCGCATGGGAAGTGGTGCATCAGGTCTTTGGGACCGGAAGCTCTCGAAATCCGCTGCATGTTCCTGAACAGAATCCTAACGGGTCGAACTTGCCAGGGGGCTCACGAATCCATCGCTGGACCTGTGCGGGCTGCGCGTGCCGGTGTGATTTCCAGCACATACGGATGCCGTGGGACTGTTGGGCTGAAGGCCTGGGGGATTTCATGCCTGCACTCTCTGGGGATGGCGAAGGAAGATGCTCAGTTCAAACACGGCCACACAAAGCAGCAATGGCAGTGTCATCGATGGTATGCTTTCAGCCTGTCGGTACTTGCTCCTCGGGATCCTCTTACACTCATGAAGCCCTCAGAGAAGCTCTGCTGCAATCTTCAGGCACAAGAGTGTACAGAGCATGCAGCAGCTTCAGCATGCAAATCACCTGTGAAATCTTTGCAAGAACACGAGAAAGCGAAAACTGTGGCAAGGCTTAGCTCTCCGGACAAGAAGGGGACCCGACGGATCAACGCCTACAAACGCCGCAAGGGAAGACCCCTTTTGCAAGTGATTATCGTCCATCGCCATATGCAGACTCGGCATGAGACTTCATTCTCCGTGCGCCTTGCGACGCGTCTCAGAATCACGAGGGCAATTCTCCAGGGCAAGGGCCTCGAATGCATAAGCCTCCCTGTCAACAACAACTAATTATTTCACTTCTGCTTGAAGCCTGCCTTCGCATCAGAACACCTTGACCTTTTCTTTGACCACAAGGCCCATAACCCTGAACTAACCGATGCCTCATCCAGGTCACATTTCCAGTCAACGGGCACAAGCCACCGCTTCGGACCAAGTACTCGGCAAGCACACTGCGTTCGTACCTTGACAGCACTCCGGTTGATTTCAAGCATGGTTTGTTTGTATTCAAGTTTGTTTAGAAAGGGACCCTGGCTCTGAAGTGATTGTCGCGGCCGGCCCGATGGAGCCGAGTGTGACGTTCAATTCTGTAAGCAACCCTACTCTTGGACTCTGGCTGGCATACCCCGGGTATGCACCCCGGAGCGCAAGGTGGTGTAATGCCTGTGAATGCCTGTTAAATACTGTTGTCGTGCCTCTACACTATACCTTACACATTACCTGACACACTTGTCTGCAGAGTCTCCTGTTGCTGATCCGTTGAGGTAAAAGTTAATGGCACAGGAAGCTCAAACTAGGGGTACTCCAAGTACTCTGTTGAAACAAGAATGAGTCTATGGGAAGGTTCTTTGGGCTGCATGCAGGTCTAGCCCATTTCATTTGATGCCTCTTACGTTGAATGTACAGCTATCATAGCCTGGGGCGATGTGTAGAAACCACAGACGCCTGCGCCGAGCGTTTGACAGGACTGCAAAACGCCGAAAATACAAAATCAAAGTCTCTCAGAATCTGCAGTCATATCAAACCGTGTTGCAAGAATCCCAGAGGCGCTCTCACCGGATCCATCATAAGCCGCCCATCCTCGAGCAGAGAAGGTTTCATGGAAGCTGAGGGATGGCGTTATGTGTAGCTTCTATGTCTACAGTAGGTGTCAAGCCGTAGCCCTCAGCTCCCAGCCAAACGACCCCAACCGCATCCCAAATCATGTCAGCAGATGTAGAAGTTCGACATGCAGTCGTAACGCAAAAGTGACATCCGGCTTCTGTGCTTCTTTGGCGTCTAATTGATTCAAAGGGATTGCAAGCTGGGTCCTTGGCACGATCCGGCGCTTGTCTGCCCGACCCCCATGCAGAACATCTGCACTTTCTGAGGAACACCCGACGAGGCAGCAGGTATACATTGAGCGCATGCCACGCCTAGACGTCCCAGCATGGTCGGCCCATGCAAGCCCAGGCTCTAGGGCGCAGCGTAGCTCCCGCGGGGCATCTTGGAGAATCTGACAGCACTGGTTAAGTGAAGGCACATTGAAAACAATCTTGGCTCGAATGCAAAAAATCTGCAGGTCTGCAGTCTGCGAGATACAGTTCAAACGTAAGAAACAGATGTCAATCCAGGCCTGCAAAAACATCCCCCAGCAGCAGAACATGGCTCTTGCCTGGCGCAAGCCTCCGCTCTGCAGCGCAGCAGCAGAACCTCGTTTCGTTTCAGGGATCTATGAAGACCAGAGTAGACATTGGTGACATGGGTAGTTGCTGGTTTCGCACGGCAGGACCTAGCGATGAATGGCGTTTGAAGCACCAGCAGTGGCCTGCATCCTACGAAGTAAACCTCTAGAATGCAAACTGCATGGCCATACAAAACCAAGCCTCAACACCCTCCTGCTGGAATCGGAGAAGCTCCATTTACCAAATCCTAAACCGTTCAAACCCTAAAGGCCCTAAAGCCTTGGCTTTACTAAGGTGGGGCTCCTTGCTTTGTTCACGAATCGAACGACTGCTCGTAGCGAAGCTTTGGGATTGGACTTTGCCCCAGACCTACTGCGCGAAAGCCAGAGGCCAGCCCTGGAGCAGAAAAGCAAGACCCTCTGCAGAGACATCCCATCAACACTTCCCAGAAACCCTCACAACCTCCCAGCCTGGCGCCGCGCGGTTACGCAGCTCCAGTGCAAGTGGTGCCGGCGCGGCACGGGGTTCCAGAAACTGCAGCCACCCTTGCAGCGGGCGCGGGGATTGATTGCAAGGTGTTCATGCGGTGGGGAGTGCAATGCGTTTGACGGCCTCCGGATGGGGTGTTGAGCATGCAGTCATTGCAGAGTTTTGAGTTCTGGGCTGTGTTCGGGCCCAAGGCCATTGGACATCGACGTGCAGCATTGCGAACGTTTTGAATCTCTGGATGTCTCAGGTACGGCTCAGTGCACCAACCACAAAACTCGACAAACATCGCTTTAAAAAACATATGAACCAGGCATCTCTGGAGCCTGGGCTGCACCCAGATTCCTACAACAAATACCCAAGCACATCCTAAAAGCCTTGCATGTCAATTATAAAACGCAAGAAGTGCCCGCTGAGCATGGCGAGCCCTGCATCAACCAAACATTTTTTGCAAACCTGGAAGCCCAATCCCTTTAAGCGTGAAAACTTCCCAAGTCCCAGAAGCCCCACAGCCCGCACCTGAATGTTGCTTATTACCATTACACTTAAACTTAATTACCACAGAGTTTACAAAAGTAGCTTGTGGAGCCAATGTACTTCTGTATGCCGTAGAGAGAGCGCCGCCGAGAACCCGTTAGCATTATGACATCCTGTGACTCCATGACGCTGGCAAGCAGCGCTGCTTCGCTGCTGTGCGGAGTGGCCGAGGCCAGGTGCGGAGCTGCTGGGCCACCTCCGAGTTTTACACCTCTTTTTTGAAAAGGGCCTTCACGTTTACTTCGCATGCTGAAGAAAGGCCCATCTCAGTTTTGAATCTTGAGGGCAGGCTTGACTGCCATCTCCTGAAGCTGCCACCTATAGAGAACACCTCAAGCTTCCGCCAAATCCTGAACCTTAAAGCCTTAAAGCCTTAAAGCTCTTCCTCGGCTTGCTGGGTGTTGCCGAGGGCAGCTTCGAGGTCTGCAGCCGAGGTCTCGCCGGGGAGGATCCTGGGATCAGGGCTTTGAGAAGCCATCACAAAAGAGTTGAATATCGGGCTTGACAGTAGATGCTGACCGGCTTGAGGGGATGGCAGGGCTGTCGGGTTTTGAATGCGATAGCTGCACCATCAGCTACTTGCCAGTCCCCCCTGGCCGTAATCCGAAATCCCGAAGACAAACCACAAAGTATCCCCTCTAAAGCCCGAACAGAAGCGCAAAACAATAAAATCAAAGATCAAGGCATTCGCAGCAAGGGCCACGCAAGCAGCCCAGGTCGTCTCCAAGTGGTCGGCCTTGGCAGGACACTTGGTTAGGTCAGCTCTTTGGGATCTATGGAGGCGTTTCCGACTCGTTTCAGACTAGTCCCAAGCGAAACCCCTCCAATCAGACAAGTCTGAGTCTATGCACTGCTTGAAGGCTTCTTGCAAGCCGCGCCTTGTCAGGAGCTTTCATGCTCTGCAGTGAGCAACCAAGCAGCCTTGGAAGCTCGGCACATGTTGGAGAAAGACGTCCCGGAAACAGAACAGGCATCGATGCATGTCTGTTTTCCGCCCTGGCACGCAACAGCTGTCTATCTGGGCACATACAAACAACGTAACAACCGTCTGCCCACTTTGAGATGCCAGCTGCACGATGGAGGCCAAGGTTTGGCCTGCAGAGCTCTTTGAGGGTCTTCTTGAGGGTCTTGAATTCGACCATTGAAGCCCCCTTAAGGCGGTGAAATGCCTTCAGAAGCTGGTCCAAACTGCACCACATTTATGCATCTAATCATGGTAACAAAAAAAGCGATCGTGTACTTATGTTGGTATGTTTTCCTGCTGCTTCATTGAAGGGTGTCACAGCAACTGAACACTCCACTGGTCCACGCCACCCAAAAGGCCTTCAGTGGTCGCCAGCGCCACGTCGGATGCGAAAGCGAGATCCCCGGCATCACACAAAAAACTGCGCAATGTAGGACCAGGCAGTACCTGGCACAAGTTCATGGCATTCACAGATCTAGCCCGTGCGTTGGGACTGAGAAGAACCACAAACCCGAATGCTGACAGGACACGTAGTTACGGGAAGTACATGCTCGTTCGCCACCTCCCATGCAACCTGGCCTGCGCTTGTGCGAAGCACGGCCACGCGTCGCTGAGCACCTGGTGATTAAATCGTCGACCTTTGACCGAATTAGTCACAACCCTAATGCCCTAATCTCAACCCTGAAAGATACACAAATAGAACAGCCTCGGCGAGTGAAGCAGCTGCACCGCGGGCAGCATCCAGGGCGGCCTAGTTGCCACAGGTTGTAGACCATGCTGCCAGGGGCATGAGCTGATGTAAGGTTGAGTTGCTCATGCTTCGAGCTTCAGCATACGGCTGCAGGTTTTGAACCTCTGCCCTTCGTCCTACTCCACACGACCTCCTCTCTCTGCGCCCAGGCTGGGTTCTCCTCAATGATCTCGGCCTTCCACAAGCTTCGGGCTTGTGGTACGGGAATTCGGGATCAAGGTTTTGTGACTTCAGCCGGACGGTGTCGCAACGAAGGTGCTTTAGAGCTGTACGTTGGGGCCGGCCTTATGCAGGTATCCGGTCCTATTGACTATGGGGACGTTGCCCAGGGTGCGAGCGCAACTCAGGTGCTCTATGGGTTGGGTTTACTGGGGTTCTGAAAGGTTAAGGGCGGTTTTAGGGCAGCCCAGGTTTGCAAGGCCTGTAGAATCGATGCCAAGAAATGCGCCAACTGCGGCTGCAACAGGAATTTATCGGCGGCTTGCCTTGCTAATCAGGGATATTTGGATGGCACACAGATTTGGGCTGCTTTGGCTGGGGCTTGGAGCGTTTGCGATTCGCAGTGTTGGGGTTGGGCGGGCAAACACCTGCCAAAACAACACTACCGCATTTCAGAAAGCCCCCGAAATTATCACTGACGGCTGAGCTGCACCAGCGATGGCAGCAAGTGGCAAGTGGTCACTTCCGCCGCCAAGGTGGCCCTTGTGGGCTGCATTGATTCCCCAGACTTCTCTTACAGTTACAAATAGCTTGTAAGATCTTGTAAATATAGGAACCGTTATGACGGCTATAATCACAGTTGTGCATAAACACTCAGGTTCAGGGATCGAGGAATATCATGGGAAGCTTCTCCCTCTTCCCCTCTTCCCACCAAGAAGCACTACACTGTATCCCTGTGCCAAGAACTAAACTAAACTCAACAGCTAAACTTGGCTAAGCCCCCAAAACCGCCAGACTCATCACGCCGGCCCGTTGGGACAATTGCGCTGCTTGGATTTTCTAAGCCATTGGCCGATGCTTGGCCAGCTGCGCGCTGCGAGTTGCAATGTTGGGCGCCCCATCACCATCGGCACCCTGTGCTTCAGAGCTTTTTTTGCCAAAGTTTGCTGATGTGGATTTCGTGAAGTTGAGTTGGGCTGGGTGATCTGAGACGAGGGATCTTTCTTTAAACGTCGTTTTCTGTCGGGATTTTGGCTATGGACTGCGGGTGAGACACGAAACTTACCTGAAATTTCCCAAGACAGGCATCGACTTGTGTCTCCTGAAAGGCCTCATGGGGCTGCGCTCAAGCTAAACCAAAAATTGCACACCAAGCTGACGTCACTGACAGTTGCCATGAGCGAACGTCCAAAAATTGGTCCGAGGGCGGGTCTGCAAGTGCATAGCGTGTCTGGGAGCTTAAGCAAGGCTTTGCGGCTCACACATTTTTCGGGCACGTCAATAAGCACCTCTTCAGTGGCGAAAGCAACCGCAGCCGTGTGTAAGCCTGTCGGGTGGCAAACAAGGTCAAGCAGGAACCCAAAGCTAACGAATGACTGCACGCCACCTCACACTCTCTTCATACGCTCCCCTCGGACCCCCACCCTCCCATCACATCGCTCCCCTGTTCAGTGACTGAACGAGAACCCAACATCCGAGATGTTTTTAGGAAAAGCGCTACTTGTCAGTCTGGCCAAAGCAGCCACCAATAAGGCATCCATCTTCGCGGCGAACATCGCGAACAAATTCTTGTTCAACGGTGAGCGTCGCGCTCCCGCCACCCCTTCGCAAAAATTTCGTTTCACATGCCAACCGCCAAGCGCACCTAGCACGGCAAGGGCCACCGTCTGATGGAGGAGCTCAATCTCCTGACCACCGGCTTGCTTGCCCATGACACCCTACATGAAGCCAACTGTCTGTCATTCCCGAACTGCAAAACACTGTATCATGACTGTATCTGAAAGCCTCGCGGTCACCCCTCGAATACTCAACAAATCCTCAAACCAACAGCAGAGGCCCAAAAGCATAACGTTTCCGAGGGCAAAACCCTACAATACGCTTAAGCCTTATAAGCCTTTAGTTTGAAAGCCCTCACAGAAAGCCGCCTCTGGAGCTTCGAGAGCCTTGGCACGGCCGCTGTGCTGCGGCAGGGCCAGGGCACCGCGTGCAAGCACCAAGGCCTTGGGGGGGGGGGGTGGCCCTCGAACTTCGGGTTTCGGATTTGGGTCTTCTGAGTCTTCTGGCTTTGACTACGAGGAACTACGCGGTCCACCTCGGGCCCGATACAGGTGCTGTCAGGCGCCCCCGGATGCAGGCCAAGCACTCAAAAAGTGCCAAACATGCGTCAAATCTTCAGACATAAACACTTGGAGATTTTGAAGCGCAATGCAGCCCGAAAAGTGAAAGCCAACTTTTAAGTACCAAGTCGTTGGTTGATTTTGGAAGTTGGCTGTTCGACCGCAACTGGTCGCCTAACGCTCTTGTGGCAGAAAGGGTGAGCTTCGGCCAACGGTTGATGGCGAAGCGGAGCTATTTGCTGCACTGACTACTCGTCCCTGTGTAACATGGGCCAGCCCACAGAAGAAAAGTGGTGAGATTTGAAGTGAGCCGTTAACATACCAAGCCCAGTTGTTTGAAGCTCCAGCTTGTGGTTGAGCGGACTTCTCGGCTTACAAGGTATAGCTGCTTGAAGGCACCAAAGCTAATGGGCTAATGCCTGCGGCAGCGGCCTGATGTCTGAGGTTTGCTGAGATACCGTCCTAGGCAGAAACCCGATATCCATCCAAAGTGTACTTTAGAAAGCCCTGCTGAATCCGCAGCTGGGACCGAAACGTCTGAAACTACTGAATCTGCACATCTCTAACATCCTAAACTCCCTATGTAGCCTCTACAAATTCCTGCAGGTCCTGCAGCCAACAGTGCCAGGGTCCCGTGCCCACAAGGCATCTCCGCCCTTAGCTCAGTGACGGCAGGCCGGTAGTCTCACCAAAGCCAACACCCTGAACTTCCCCAGGTTTGTAAAGGGATTTGGCGCCGTGCTGCAATGTCGTCGAAAAGAATTTGAATGAGACCGGTGCGGGCACCAAAGAAGCAACTCGGCGTTCAGGGTGAAGTGCTCAGAACGATACAGAGAAGCTGCGGGACCGTGAGCCATTCCAATGCAATCTTAACGCCAGTTCCGGCATTCTTCACAACCACTCTATGCCAACCTTGCAGTCTGCTGGCTTAAGGGAGGTGGGCTCTCCACATGAAGCCCAGCGAGACAACTAAGACCATCGCCTTCCACGACCAAAAAGCTGAAAGGAAGATGGGCAACTTCTTTTGACAGAGGATCGTTTTGCTGATGGCCGCGACATGTTGTCACAAAAGTTGACGTAGGTTACCAGTTACCAGGTTTTGCAAAAACCAACCCAGGGCTATCATGCCCGAACGTTACTTAACTCCAAACCCTGAGCTTGGAGCTCAAGCGATTTGGGGGGGATTCAGGAGCGACCTTCGCTTGGCAGGGAAGCAAATTGAAGGGAGTGCAGGTTACAACGACTTGTGCAAGAATCTCGGCCCAACGCTGCCTCAGCACAGATTCACGCGCCCCCCCCCCCCCCACGCACCACCCCCTGCAAACCCGAATTCTGCACCTTGCATCCTTGCATAGCTTTGCAGTGAATGCTATATCAAGTTTCTCATTACTTAGTTGTACCTTCAATAGACATATTGCGCCTAGGGACCAAACCTTATGCTGGGATCTGCGCTGCGAGGTCCCAGAGGACCAGAGGCGTCAAGTTTTCATAGCCCACGTTCCTGGCCAGCAAGCTGGAGCTCAATGGAGTTCCGCAGCTTGGGCTGACATCTTCAGGCTGCACATCTTGGCTCCGCATGCCTGCGCACTGGATCCAGCCAACAGCCAGTCAAGGCCGCTTTCAGATACCGAAGGATAATTATGCAATGAGGCCTGCCGAGCGCCGCGATCATCCACGAGGCAACGGCCTGTAGCGACCTTGAGCTTAGCGCACGACTTGTCAAGCATTTCGCAACAGACATGGAACAACCCTACTCCCACGCGCAGTTCGCCCATGTTCGCTGTCTGATGGTTTTTTGTTCCTTGTTCCGTCATGCTTCGCGGGAAGACATCCTGGTACCAAGGGTTCCTCTGAACCGGACCTCTGGAGGAGGATGGCATTTGTGGGTTTGAGGCGCAACGGCCAAATTCATGCGGGGCAACATGCCCCATTCAACTGAAGTAAAGGCTGCACTTTTTTCCTCAGGCCTCCTATCGCGAATGGAAGGATGCCGAGAGTTCGTCATTGTGGCTTACATGAAAGTTAACCTTACGGGGGACTGTCTGGGCACAGTCTCCCTGCTTCCATTTCGTTCTGCTGTTGCTCTCCTGATGCCTGGTCACCCATCTGTCTCGGCTTAGTCCTGGCTCCTGGTCCCCTCGGGTGGCTTGGCTCGACAGCTTCCGACAAGCAGCCTTCCCACTCGACGATCCCGGGCGTCTGCCGCTCGACGCCCTGGCGAGCTCGCTGACAAAGAAGGAACATGCAAGAAGGTATGTTCGACTACTTCGGTTCCCGATAGGTACTTCCTGAAGCCGCAAAGCCGTGAACTGCGGCTCATAGGGGAGACTCGACCTAAACACTGAAGATCTTAGGCTTCTATTTGGTTGCGACTACTAAACGTTGTCAATTCAGGCTATGTCTCGTTTGTAGCCTGAAATGAAATCTGCATGCTGCAGCCTGCTGGCTGCCAATTGGTTTAACGCAACGACCTGGTTAGTACGGAGTACAACGACTTCACAACAAACTGTCGTCGATGAATCCAGCTACAGTATAAGCGACAGTCCTTCAAGCTGCCTTCAGGCGTGTGCATCCGCAGCTTCTCCGTGCGGCACAGACCAGCATAGATGTACGGCGTCAGGCCTTCTGGATGCACAGGGGAAGGCCTTTCCAAAGGTACCCCCCCACTTGAAGCTACCAAGACACATGGCTGCACTCCTCTTCCCCAAGCCATTAGAGATAGGCAAGCAAGCTAGTACTGCGGCCAATATGTTAAATCCATCCAGATCACTGCAAGAGCAACAGGAGCACATTGGCTCCACAACTATCCGAAGGCGAATGCACCCACCAGTAGGACAGCAGCCAGGAGGGGCTAAGATTAAATTCAGGGTCTTTGAGATTGCCACATCACTACATTTAGATTCATACAACCGCAATGTGATGATCGGCCTGTAGGCAGTGACCAACTTGGCCGTCGTAGATTTAGCCAACAATTTGAACAACGTTTTCTTCCAGGAGGATGGGACATCGCCCGTAGCAAGAACATGGTTGAAAACATTCAATAGTATCTCACGAAATGCTTCAAGCTGTGAATGGCGGAATCCGCGGAATCCAGTTCCCGCATCCGTTGCTGACTTTAAACCGGCTACTGAGCGGCTACCGTGCACACAGCGTAAAATACACTTTCCATCTCGGCTTCTGGCAGTCTAAGTCCAAAGCAAAAGCTTCCAGCCTGCAGTCTGCAGCACATTGCTTGGGGTGTGCATAGTGGGTTATAGGATGGTCTAAGATTGCACGTGTTGAAATAAAGCGCTGGGCTTGATGGCTGCAAAAGAGTTGGGAGTCTAGGCATGTGTCCACTGGCTCAAATGGGGGAAGTGCTGGAACTACATCAGATCTTGGCTAACAATGGGGAACTGAGGCCACCGCGCTGTCATTGCCTCAGCAGCACGAAACAGAAGTTTCCCAAAATGAAGTCTTTCGCATATGCTTAAAACGGACGACAAGCACTGGGCGAATTCAAAAGCTACAAACTGGAACGCCGTTGCAACACGGCAGAAAATATTACAAAGCAGAGCTTGGCAGAAAAGACTGTAAGTTCATTTAAGGAATGTCCATAAAACACACACTTTTATTCGAAAAATACAAAACGGACACCTCTAACACCTCTGATCTCCTCCGCACGCGTGCCCGTGTCTAGGCGAGAGCGCGATTGAAAACCAAAACGAGCACCGCGCACCGCGAAACTTGAAGTCCCAAGGCGCCGGGCGGTTCTTGTCGCCACCTGCAAAAAAAAACTTAAAGTGACCAATGGCCGGCGGTACACGGACGGAATGTCAATGCCCGCCTCGGCATCCACGCCTGCCAAAAAGCAAAAGGATTTCAATCAGCCTTAACAAACTGTGAGCTCCAAGAATCCGTACCGTTGACTTCGGCCTCAGATGGGGCACCGCAATATCGAAGTTGCTGCATTGCCACCACTGATGCAAAAAAACGACAAGGACCCTCCAGCTCCACCCACAAACCATCTCACTGCAGGCCCCGACCCTTTGCCTTTGCCTTTTCTTTGGTCCTGCAAGGCATCCCCTTTTAAGGGGTTTAGTGTTGAAGGGGTTTAAAGGGAGGTTTAAGGGGAATTCGGGCTTTAGAGGAACTCTTCTCAAATCCCTAAGGTGGGGATGTTCGAAGTGGCCCATCGCAATGACTCGAACGCCCGCAAGCACCTCTGACATGGAAAAACAATAACAAGGATGCTGACGTGCCCGTAAGTAGTAATTACCAGCTGCCTCTCCAACCGATCTCCAAGACTCGAGACTGGAGCGTTGACGAAGGCAACCAAGTGCGTGCCCGCCTTCACCTTGGCACACGCCAAACGTGCAGTTCAAGCTGGCTTTGCCCAGTTGGACGACGCGTTTTGTCAGTGATGCGAACGGGCCTAACATATCCCAGCACACCCTCAAGGACACCTAGACTCGCATAAGGCCCGAAAAGACCCTTACAAAGACTCTTAATAAGGCACCCTCCCTACAGCAAACCTTCAAAACCCTTACAGCAGCCTCACCGGCGCCTGGCACACGCCGAGGCACGCCCGCACGCCCGCACGCCCGCACGCCCGCACGCCCACACGCGCGCGCGCGCGCGCGAGCGCGCGCGCACGCGCGACAAGCGCACGCGCACACAGCGCAACACGCGCAACACACGCGCACGCGCACCGCGCACGCGCACACGCACGCGCACGCGCAAAACACACGCGCACACGCACGCGCCGCACACGCACAACGCACGCGCACGCCCGCACGCACAAGCACACGCCACACGCCCACACGCACCACGCGCCGCGCGCCGCGCCCGCGCACGCGCGCCCGCGCGCCGCGCGCACGCGATGCGCGCCCGCGCACGCGCACGCGCACGCGGCACGCGCACGCGACAACGCGCAACGGCACGCGCACGCGCACGCGCACGCGCACGCGCACGCTCACGCCCACGCCCACGCACACGCACACGCACACGCACACGCACCCCCACACACACACACACACACACACACACACACACACACACACACACACACACACACACACACACACACACACACACACACACACACACACACACACACACACACACACACACACACACACACACACACACACGCGCACACGCACACACACACACACACACACACACACACACACACACACACACACACACACACACACACACACACACACACACACACCCGCACACACACACACACACACACACACACACACACACACACACACACACACACACACACACACACACACACACACACACACACACACACACACACGCATGCCAAGGTGCACCAAGGGACCGAACTTCCACACCGAATTTTGGAGGTCCTAAAGCTGGAGAACCCAGAACCATAAGTAATGCACATGAAGGTTGTAGTTCTACGTGCGGTTGTGAGTAAGGTAACCTATATATAACTTTCAATCAAGGTACTTATACCTTGCTTACAGTTGCCCATGAAACTCCCATGAACCTTCAAGAGGAGCACCCGGCCTGGCGGCGGCCGCTGCGCGCCACACGTCATCGAATTTGCGTCGCAAGACTTTCGCTCCTGCACTGTTCGAGGCTCGAGGGCTCAGGGTTTTTTAGCCTGTGCTTTCGGAAGAACAAAAACACGATCTAGGGTTGAGGGGCTTGCCTTTCAACGAAAGCCAATGCCAAATTCTTGGTTTGGGGTCGAGGGGTGGCTTCGTACTGCGGATTGCGGACTAAGTCGTAGGGGTTTAGGCTCGTCGGATTTGACTGTTACGAGCTCACATGGCTGCAAACACCCCAGGAGTCCCAGGAGTTCAATCAAGGTGCAGAGCACTCCACGTTATCTGGGAGCATGTAGGCCTGCCGTGCAGGAGACCTTGGCAAATGGAAAAACGAGATTTCTGGAATCAGCCACTCCTTTCAAGGGTGAATGTCAGGGCTCAGGCGTTTGAAGGCTCAGTGGCTAAATCTGGGTATTTGCTTGCTTCGGAAAAAAGACCCTACGACCCCAACACTACAAGGAAGTAAGCCGCAGGCTCCTGCTCCTCACCAAAGATGTTGCCCATGGCAGCGGGAGTGGAAAAATAGGGTTTGAAGACACGTCGGATTGAGCAAAATGGCCTGTGGGCTCAGGAGGTTGGGAATCGATAAGAGCACAGGAATGTCTGTGTGTGCAGTGTTCGGGCAACCTACGCAATGCCGGATGCCACGCTCATGCATCCCCACAGGCGAACGTCAAAACGCTCCGAATGACTCACTCCTCCCTAAGCCTGAAGTCGAGTCTTACGTTGCCTTAGGCATATTTTGCGATATGGTAACATATGATTTTAGCCTAAGTTTCAGTTCATGAGTAACAAGTTGTTTGTGGTTAGATTGAATTCTTATTAGTTGCTCCCGCGCTGGCAGTGACGCTGGCAGTCTGCAGCTGTAGGTAGACATTGCACCAAAGCTCTCCACAGCACGAGTGCCCTGCTTAGACCATCGCGGCTGCAGACAAAGCCCACAGAATCTCAAACGTACTACATGCGTATCTGCATACCTATACGATCCCAGCCATGCAATAAGAAACTGGTTTATTATTTAATTATTAGTATCATTAAATTATTAAATTCAGCAAATCTTAACTTGTTTATTTCTTATTGTAATAACACAAACATGAAAATTATTATTGTTAAATCACATTAATTAATAAACAAAAAAGACTAAATACTAATTATTCATAAAAATATAAATAACAATTGCACCTACTGTTTATTCATTTTCTGAAATTCTGATTTTCCGCCAAAAAACAACTAAATGAATTTCTTCCTTTTTCTGCATTTTCTGCCAAACTGAAGAACGGACTCATCATTGCGCCTGCTTCCAGAAACCCCTGTTTTGCAGCTTTTGAATTCGCATTCAATCGTCGCTTTTGCAGGGATCTGTCTGAGTTGGAAGTCCTGCCCAAACCGAAGGTGCCCACAAGAAATTTGTCCAGACAGCAGACTGACAATGGCCTGCTCAGTGTGAAGAGCAGCCACGCCAACACATGAACATGGCTAATTCTGGTCCCCGAACAGTGAGAACATCTTGACGTCCAGGTAACCAAACTTACTCCAAAGGAAAGGCCGCCGCGAGCTCCGGAGCGTCATCGATCAAGCCGGGCCTGAGAAGGATCTGCCAAGCGATGCCGAAGGGCAAGAGCAACTAACGTTGGAAACCAAGGTTTTGCACGGGTAGTGGCAATGAACGGTGGCGCCTACCACTTCGGTGTGGTGTCGTTTCCTTTAGCTTTCGGGAAAAAGCAGGCCAAGTCACAACACGCCAGAGCTTCCCAGCACCAACTCAAGCTTATTACGGCCTTACCCGCCAAGGGTGCGGGTTGGGAGAGAGCCCCACACAAACCCTGTCATGACCTCCTGTTTAGGGCAAGGCGCTCGGCTAGCCCTGCGACAGCAGCAGCTGCAGCGGCGCAAGCCTCATGGTGCTTTTTCTGGTAGCTTTTAGACTTCAGGGCTCTGGACTTGGGGGGGTAGGGGGGTGGCTATGGGGCCAAGCGGAAACTTGACGACGCGGCCCAAGCCTCCTACGAAGTTAGGATGTAGCTCTTCACATCCGCATGTATGGAGCTGCGGTATCTTTTAACTTCGTAAACTTCCATCTGCTTCCTGAATTCCTCTCACATCTCGCTCCCCCTGCGCTCTCTCCGATGTGCCCCCACTTCACCTCGGCAACGGCAGGGCCGAACGCCCAGGAATAGTCCTCCTCCTCCTCCTCCGCGGTGTACTCCTGGAGCCAAGTTTGTTTGAAATACTCTCTAGGCGAAGCGCTTGACAGCCAAAAGTCTTCAGCGGTTTCATTCAGAAAGCTTTTGGAAAACTTGCGCCTCCTACTTCTGAGTAGTAGCCAGCCCCCGATTCGTAATCTCCTGATTTATGTTCGCCGAAAAGGAAGCGTTTCCTTATTCCAAATAACCTTCTTGAAGACCACGTAACACTCAGCAACGAGCAGGTGTGCGGAAGAACGCAATGAAAGGAATGGCGGGAATGGCGTTTCCAAGTGCATCCTGCCCTCAAATGGCCTGCTCGAAGTCTCGGTCTACCCACCTGAACGCAGAAGCGACAGTCATCTTCCAGTAATCATGCCACGCAGTTGGAAATGGTGATCTTGCACGACATACGAAAATCAAGCTGAATAGTGAAAACTAATTATGCAGGCTTGCAAGGCACGGCCAACAATGCCAAAGAGCTCGGGCAATGTTGCACAATCCCGGGCCAGGTCTTCAACCTCACTTCACGGGGCGTAAGGGGCACGATGGACTTTGCTAGACTTTGTAGCTCGTGGTGCGAAACAGCCGGTGGCATTTCGCGTAATGGAGCCGGCATAGGGGACTTACAGGTGGGCACGGCATATTCTGGGTGTTGTGGCTGAGGGTTTGAGACAGCTTCTCCCTGCTCACGTGAGCATGGCTCCCTAACGAATCAAACCAACTCGAACTCATTGAACTTTGAGTTTTCGGGGACACCTTGTCCCATAGATGCAAATCTCAAATGCTCAAATGCTCACGAGTTTGGCGCTGGCACACGCTTGCAAAGAAAGTGGTCTCCACCTTCATCATCTGCTTTCCCAAAGGAAAAGCCAGGCAATGCCTGTACTGCTGCTGTTGACTGAGACCACGGCAGCTTCCGCCAAGGCCTTTTGTGTCCAGGCTGCATGGTTTGTTGAACTGGGAGGTTGGGAAGTTCTTACTTGGGCCTAGTTCTCAATGTCTTTAGTTGCCCGTCCCACCCTCACAGTCCAGTGGGCTCCTGTAAACATCTGGCTCCATCTTCAGGCCCTGACCCACTGTCAGATGCTACAGTGCACAACTTGTGTGCTTTTTCCTAGTTTTGGCAAGGTTTTCGTTTGTTCTGTCCGTGACCCTCGTTTCACTGACTCTCCGCGGATTGGCTTCTGCACTGGCATCTGCTGGCTGCAATTCGGCCCCTCTCTACCCAATCGGGAACGCGGGACTGCTCAATCTTTCTCAGCCCGAGTCATCCTATGTCAATCCATTCGCAACCTTTCATGCAGCACGGACCTCGCTGTTGGCACCGCCCAAAGCTCCATAGACCTTTGTTTACGCGAAGAGCTGATGAGGAAGGCGCAGGTGTGGGAGGGGCTTGGTTCTTGGTTACATACGGGTGAAGCTTACATGCCTGCAGGCTGCAGTCGCTTTTTCACATTCGTCATGCTTTTTATCCTAAGACCTTTCTGTAAGTACAGCTAGATGGCTGACCGTCTCCAGAACAAGGGTGCAGGAGTCATTGCCAAGCCCAAGCCTCTACATGAATTAAGCCAATGTTGAAGGCCTTGTGGGCCTTTTGTTCCAGGATTCCTGCACATTTATTGTCAAAGCCCAACCCTAGTTGACGAAGGGAAAAACAATACCTGCCATGAAGCTTCAGAAGACATGATAGACCTGAAGCACGCTGACACCGAGCTCCGAACAGCATTCACCTTTGCAAGCAGGTGCTGTGTGCAAAGGTCACCGACAGCGTCCGCCAAGTCGGCTGAAGCCACTTCCTTGAGCATGAGCCCTCTGCACTACAGCTTGGCAATTATGGCTGCGATCTGAAGCAACTCGAAGCCGTTGGTGACAGAAAGCTGCTTGAATCACGAATCGCAACACGTAGTAAGACATACTACATGACCTAGTTCACGTGGTGGGATTCGCTACGAAGTCCCAGGTGTATCCTCGATGAATTCCACCGCCTGAGCCGTGAGGTGCTGTGCCCGGTGCATGAATCAACCATGCCCAGAACAGGTACAGCATTGCAGAAATCGGAACTCGATTTTTCATGCATTTTGGCGGGCTGATGTGGGAGCTATGTGGCGATCTTTTTAGCATGTCTCTGTAGGGCCACTGTAGAATGTCGTCGTGCTTGCCTGTTATCGAATTGCCCAAGCCTCATAAGGTCACCTCGTTGTGTGGAATGCTACTAACATGACGCTTGAGCACGTCGAGACAAGAGGTGGAAAGGATGGGCTTGCTAAAAGTTTTCTAGGCTTGCTGTGTCACGACTCAGCGGCTCTGAGCCTAAACTGCTGGGCGTCGTAGGGCGGCATCACGCCTACCTTTGATGCTAAGATCGTCCTGGCCCTGCCAACTTTCCGGCAGCTGCGTTTGAAATCATGCTTGTGCTTGAGTGCTGCTTACACCCGCCAAAAGCAAGACGAAGGATGCAAGGATGTGAGGAGTCGGCGCACAAGATGCTATCACAAGGCCAACATGCATCTAACATGTTCTCAACTCAGTGTACTCCTTTAGTGCATCTTCTGCGAAGCCAGGCTGCCCATGTATGCAAAAATTGCACGTTCACGAATTCTGTAACATGCTTCTGCCATGAGCAAAGCCAAGAACTGCACCAAATGCCAGGGCCACCGCGGACAACGGCGGCGGCACCTCAAGATTCATGGCTAAACGCACCGAATGAGCACCTACAGGCGCTCATTCGGGGATAAACAAGATTCATTGTTCAGGTCCCAGGGGTCCCACACTTCCAAATGTGGGGAAGCATGGAGGCTGAGTCAGCTTCGGGGTTTGGGTAGACTCAAATCACTCAAAGATCATGCTTGCGATGAATGAAGAACACGGTTCATCAAGATATGGCTTCCTGCAACCCTGTACCCGAAGTAGCTGGCGACTGACGACCGGCATCCTTTGGCTGGATCAAGACCAAGATGTTTGCCAGCACTAGTCGGGGGCTCGAAATCCTCACGGACCTGAATTTCCATATCCACCCCCGCACGTTTTGGGAAGGGGAAGGCCCCTTCCCATCCGATGCGTGAATTACAGGACTCAGGCCCTCCCAAGCGTCGGGTTAGTGGCAGGGCGTCTTGTGCTAGCATAATCTAACACAACATGAATGCATTCTTTTGGCGTGGTTGAACAGCTTGAACGTGAAGCAGGCGGGTATGGCATCAATCTCCGCCTGTACCCTACGAAGCTTTGGAGACTGATTGGATGTGCTGATTGGCCACCAGCGTGCACCTGCACCTGATGAAGAAAGTAATTTCGTCTAGAACCCACGCTGCGCGATGTTGATGCTTGCGGTTGTTCATACCATCATGGCAAGGCCGATGGTTTCCCCATGGTGCTCAGCTCTCAGCTCACAGGGCAAGCCGTGCACATGCGCGACAATTATATGGATCGAAAATGTCGTCAGTCGCCAGCGTTCCGCTGCAATGCCTGCTTGGGTATGGTTGACACTGTTCCGATACCCGGGTGGGCTATGGGGGATACACAAGGGCATACACATCGTCGGACGTGAGGAGCTGCATCATGCACTTCCACTTCTGCCTCACTGTTCGACTTCGCCCTACCGGAGTGTTCGTCTGTGCAGGAGGACATGAATGAGTTCCCCTGAAAGCATTGCAGCAATTAGTCGAGAGCTCCCACTCGAGTGCACCTCTCATGAAATTGGGCCTTCGGATGTTGCCCTCCAGCAACCAACAACCCGGCGCGTTCGTTCTTGGTTGTACGTGTGTGCGTTGCCACCGATCGCTACGGCTGGCCGTTCACAGCCCAAAGCCTGTGCTTTCCCTTCACATCTACGGGCATAGTCTAACGGCGGCTCATTGAGAGAAGCCACGAGCTGGAACTCGCGAATGAACTGCCAGCGGTGGGCAAGGCCTTATCATGGGGCGTATGTTTTGCCCAGGATCACTCGGTACCCATACTTCTCATCTCTGCAGCAGTGTTACTTGTATTTCGGATGATCTCCGAATAGGCTCTTCTGTACTACTTTTCTGGGGTGGGTTGCCAGGAGTCAGCCCGCATTCCATCCAAGCCTAAACTCTGGCTGCCTCAGCGTGGGCATCCCGCAAAGCTACGACTGCACCGGGCCAGCTGGCCCTGAATCCTAAGTTCCCGGCTGCCCGCGCGATCTATCGCCTGCAGGGCCGAACATTCTGTTTTATGACGCAGCGACATGATGACATATTGAGTCTTCTTGGCCCAATTCTGTCCTTCTTGTCACATTGATGTGATGGTGGAGCTTGGCTGGGAGTTTCCTGTGGGAGAGTTCTTTCCGTACGTGTAGCAGGACAACATGCGCAAAATGTGAATCTGAAACTCGCTGCTTTTTTGAATCCTTGGAACATGAGACTCGGCAAATGGGCCATTGCTAACGCACCAACTGTAGCCATTCTCACCTGAACACCCCAAGAATCTTCTTGACAGGAGGCGCGCCTGCTGTCTCTCCAGAAGTTGTGGCATGTGCCTCGATCGCAACTTCTATCTGGGGCCTTTAGAGCTAGACATTTTCACGCCCCAGTTCACGGACTACCGTCCAACCATCATACCATCTTACCCCCACACCTCATAACCCTCAACCCACCATACCTCATAACCATCTTACCACCATACCTCACCATCATTCTTACCAATTATGCCATTCCCTCAACCTCCAAAAACCCTTCCCAAAATAACCCAAAAAACTTACCCAAACCCCTATCCACGAACCCGGGCGTGAACCTTATTCAATTGTCATAATTACTTATTATGAAAACTAATCTTCAAAGCAATTCTTTATAGCATCCAAGTGCCAATACTTACGAATGATATGCAATCGTATTTGTTCGTGATTTCCTTTAACCCCATCTGGTAAATTGCTTATGTAATCATCATCTTCTATTTTGCTTTGAATGAAGCTTTCACGCAATCTTGTAAACTCGTTGATTTGCGAAATATGTGCTCTTCGCTCTTTATGTTTTTCATAGTTCTCTGGCTTTATGCGCTGACCACATTTGCAAACACACGCTCCGTTTTGTGCAGTTTTCTCTCGCTTGTCCTATTGATTTCGTCTTTATGTATTTCGTAAAACTGCTTCCGATACACCCTTCATTTCTCTCTGCATACACGACAATGTTTAAAGCCGTCAACAATTCCATATCAAGTGATTTCTTGCATTTTACAAACTTGCTTGCTCTCTTCCATTCTTAATATTATGGCCTTCACGGGCTCATCAAGAACAACCACGTCTACACCATCAACAGAGACTTCAAAAGCATCAAAAAACCATGAATGCGAAGAGTAGCCCTTCGCAGTACTTCGCATTGCCTGGCGAATGCGAATACCAAAAGCTTATAATCAGTAGCAACTACTACATAAGCGACCGAGAAGAGCCTCCTGAATGCCACATGATAGAGACAGCCAACGACCTTTTGAAAAACACGGACAACCAGAATACACCCTGGTTCATAAAGATAATGACCTCGTACAACTCTTCCACGAACTAAAAATAGCTGGTTACGAGCCCTTCATAAAAATATCAAGCGGGAACGATGACAGAGCTAAAAAAAAAATGAAAAATTAAAAGCACCAAGCAAGAAATCACATAGACAATCAAGCTACAAACCTTATCAACACACAGTATAGACGAAGATGTATCGGTAGAAAACGAACAGCTTTTCAACGATATGAACCGAGAAATGTTTGACTTCATTAAGAAAATTTTCAGCGATGCCCACAAGTCCTATTATAGCCAGACTGACATAGACATTCTAGACGAATGCAGAACCATAGTGCCAACCGGATACCTCAAGCACGATTTCTCTAACAGAAGCGTTTAAGAAACATTCCATACACAAGGTTGAATTTTGTGTTGAAAAAATGTTGCCCGTTGATGCTTCCACTAGGTATAGGTTCAAGTCTTGTAATTCTTCATTTCGGTAAGGCTTCCATATGTCAAACTCGGTGAAGACAGGTATGCATGTGATTTTGGAAAGGCTCTTATACAGGCTTTGGTTCTGTCAATTTCAATGAAAAACTTTTAATATACACTACCACAAGACTACCACAAGCAACCATCACACATTCACGAAGTGGACTGTGAATATTTCGTCTCCGAGCTCTGGAATACCAAAATAAGCAACAAGCCTAAGCAAGACGCCAAAATCAAAAACAACAATAGCCAATGTCAATTTCGGATGATAAGAAAAGTCCACCAACAAAAAGCGAAAGTCAATATCATTCAACAGCCTGGAAGAGGCGTTACATTACAGAAACATTTATGAGGGCAGGGTGTTTGTCATTGAAGAATGCGCAATGCACGTTAAAAAAACACATTAAACTTAGAAGATGAAGATGAAGATGAAGATGAAGATGAAGATGAAGATGAAGATGAAGATGAAGACACGACGCAGTCGCCTCGCGTGCTTCGCGACCAGGAAGATATAAAGATGTGTAGATATACTGATAAATATTACATACTGAACGTCTCAACATCCAGAACCTTATCCAACGGCTTTCGCTACATCAAAGAGATTCTTCTTCAAAATAATAATAATGATATGTATGACACCTACAACACCTTAACAAAACACAACATAGAAATATTCAGTGTAAAGTCAGACGCCTTCGTCATCAATAAAACTAACCTAACAAAAGCCATGAAGCTTATAACCTTCAGTAACCAAGTCGGAGGATGGAGAGCGGAAACCGACAAGGAAATCAACTTTCCGACCGAGCCCTACAAATACAGATAAAACATGAAACACGACATACTAACTTATAACAACAACCGCCTAAACATGGCCGACGAATGGAACACCGAAGCCATCTGCCACCAAATCATAGAAAATGACCCCTGCATGGTGCGTGCTAAATACGCTGGTTCGGGTAAGATTTATGAACACTTCCAGAAGCTAAACTACAATGTTCTTGTCGTTGTTGAGACGGGGCCTTGCAAGTTTCGACGCTCCCGGTGTGGTTTCGCGCGAATTCCGTTGCGTTTCGATGC